TGTCTTCCCGCCAAACGCGCTCCCCTCAGGAGCTGCCGTCGCGTCGCACGGCTTTACCACAGCGGCGCGGGAACGGGCTCCCCTCACAACACCTCCTCCACACCCCCTCAGACAAGAAGGTTCAACCCCCAAACGGGCTTTTATTGCTGCGCTTCAAACAGAACAGTTCCGAGCAGACCGATACAAAACAAGAACAGGATCGTTTCAGAAACCCAAAGCGTTGGCAAATCCTCTCGGCAGCCTCTTCATTCCCACCGCCCGGGCTCGCACAGCGCTGTCCTGCCTCACGCGGAGGGAAGCATGAGCCGGAGCTCCTCGCTCTCCAGCCGGCATCTGGCGCCTGAGTTTAACTCAAAAAGACCTTAGTGAACATCACAACCGGGGGCTGCGTGAGCACCGACGGCGTTAAATCACTTCCAGCTCCCCCTGTGAAAGTGAGGAGGATGTCAAGTCCGTGCCATCGCTTTTACTAGCAGTTCGTTGACGTCCTCATTTACAGGAAGCTCGTAGACTTACATATGTACACAGAAGCAATTTTGAAGTTCGTCGTAAACGTCAATCTGTAGCTTCTAATTTACTTATAATGTTACGACTTTTTAAAGTATTCAATACGTTATCACAAGCCTTGGTATCTAGATACCTTAACTCATCCAGTAGCTTAATAATAGTTTGTTTCTCTCCCAGTGTGTTTCTCCAGGCGAGAAGCATCTGATAAGATTGCTCTTCTATATCATTAGGAAAGTCATAAATAATTTTATCAATATCGTTTTCCTGCAGATGAGTTCTCATAAGCTGCCTCCATTTTTTCTGTGGCACTTCCTTTGTAAAGGTCCAAAAGCAATCTCTCAGTTCTGAAACAAAAAACGAACGGCACGTATAAGCTTAGGTTCCAAAATTCAGATTTTTTTCATAGCTAACGTACATGTTTTCCTATTAACTTTCAGCCAATACATACACAGACCAAACAGCAGCAGCAAGGCCAGGTTTGGCACCTAAAATAGCAGCAGGAAAAATAGGTTTCCTACTCAGTGGTCTTGAAAGAAGCTAACGGTACCAGTCTATATATCTAAAAAGCAGTCTCTTAAGATATCATTCAGTTAAGGCGGTTTTGAGGAAGGTTTCATTAGGCTGCATGTCTTCAGTTAAGCTCAATAGGGCTACTCAACAATAGGCTTCACCCACTTCACTATGCTAGTGGTATAGGTTTGCCATGCCAAGAACAGCACGAGCAAAACCCAGTACTTGGACATCCAGCACAAAAACTTGCTGGGTAGAGGTAGATGTATGGGGATTCAATGCGATCTTCCATGCAAGCAGACATTTGACAGAAAAATCTCCTGTTCTGACCTTTATCTCGCTCTTTAAGGAAGAGTACACTGCTGCAATGCAGGCTTGTTTAAAACATAACAAAAAATAATTCTAATATTCTTAAACCCATGACTGGATAACACTCCTGTGCAGAAAAACCATGCTTTAAAGTCACAGAGATTACGACTTCTCTAAAACATAGTAATAATAATCCTGTTTCAGCATATTTTACAATAAACTGAAAGCCTTATAGCACTAGGCAATACTCATTAGCTTTCCTAGGCTATTTTTTAAGTAGACTAAAGTCAACAGGAAAAAAACAAATTCCATGGACTGCCAGTTTATGAAATACTTACCTTTTTGAGAGAGATCTTTAACAATTATTCGACACTGCGGTTCTCGTACCTGTAATACAAAGTTGGTTCATTATTTCAACGTATCGGAGTGCTTCACTCATGACTATTCCTGAGCTACTTGATAGCTTGCTTCCACAGCATACATGCCAATAGGGAAGAAGGGGGCAGATTTCATAGCACAGCTGAAAGTATTTGAGTAAAGAAAATTGCATGCTAAAACAGCCATGCTACTAGTTCTGAAGTGAAGCAACAAGGCAACACATTTACTGCTATTGCAAAAGAACAGCTTCTGTGTAAATACCGAACAGGGAGAGGAGAGAGGCAGAGCAGATTAAATGAGGGACAGAAGTTTGCTTTCCCAAGATACCTCTTCCCATAATTTCTATTGCATCTTTAAGGCAAAGCCTCCTCATCCCTATTGTTCTCCCTGAAAACAGCATCTAACACTCAAGGAATAGCCAAGAACCCAACTGAAATTACATGCATATCAGAGAAAATACGATGACAATCTCACATGCGAACACACACTTACCATATGCTTTGCTGGCATCCTACCCCTTGGTATATTAGACAAGGCATTCTGATGACAAGCAGGATTCTGTCCAGTTTTTGCTGGTAGTGAAGAGTAAGCAATCCTCTTCCAGCACCTTTCCATGTTGCGCCTCCAGCCCCCACACGGGATGGTGCTGGGCTCAGAAAGTGCAACACTGTTTTCCTCTGGTGATGTGGTTTTTACTTCCATGTTAACACTGGTTTGTGCTTGGTCCTCTGGGCTCTCACCAGAGTTCTCAGCCTCTAGGTTGGCTATGCTATTTGCAGGTGTCTCCACTTCTGGCAAAATTAGGCTTTCAGTACTGCCCTCAGACTCCTGTAAAGAATAAGAACATATTTCGAGAGATGTTTCCCAGGCTGGCCTTCAAGGACAGTCTGGAGGAAGAAAAGAGAATACCTGAAGTCACCAGATGTCAGAGAGATAATAGGAGAGCTGCTAATTTGGTAATTATAAACATGCAGAGGTTGCAGCCGTTATAGTCTTGGACTTCAAACGGTTTCAGAGCCTGAACTCTGCTTCGCTGGCTGTTCTGCTCCTGCTGGACTGTGGGGTAAGGCTCACAGGCTACCTCTGCAACAAACGCAGGAATTCTTTCCTGACGTTTTCACTGGCGCATATTGCTGCTTGCTCCTCTCTAGGTACAGAAGGTATGCACCCCTCCTCAGGCAGGAGGAAATTAAATTGCCTTACTGCACCTGAGCTGACTTAACAGCAACAGGGGCCTCAAGCCTATCCTTGTATCGAGGCTGACGCTCTCAGAGCTTTTGCCAAGCTGCTAACTGCCCATCAGCTCCATGTAAGTGTGCTAGCCTGGGCTTTTTTTTGTCTGGGTTAGGTTTTTTTTGGCAAATTCACTAACTAGAATCAGCTGAAAGAGTCAATGAGCACAACGCACATTGCATAGCTTTTCTGAGGGGACAAAGAGGGAAGCAGGTGAGGAGAGCTGCATCATTTTTAGCATTGTCAATACATTAAACGAGCACATGCCAGGGAGTATAAGAACAGTACAAATACAAAGCAGACCAGCATTTATCTAGCATATCAGCTAGTGCTAAAACCGGAAAGCTTTAGGAATTTTTTTTAAAGGTGGAAAACAAGGAGAAAACTGTTTTTCCAGTAAGACTTGTGTTTGTTAAGGTACAGATCTCCCATGACTGTAAGCCAGTGTGATTTCTATTTGCACAAGGCCAGTGACCCACGTGTGACACCATCATATGACCAACATGCGTAAGCAGGGATGTGAGGGGAACCACCCCACACATGGAGCTGTACATCATCCTCATTGAACCCACTTTCTGTTTAAGGGTGCCAACAGGTTAAACAAGCATGGCTGACTAATAGCTGCTGCTGTATTTTGGAATGAAATAAAGTATCAGTGGTTTGTGGTGGGGTTTTTCTGTTGTTGTTTTGGTTTGGGGTTCTTTTTGTTTGTTTTTGTGGTGTGGGTTTTTTTTTTGTGTGTTCTGTTTTGGGGTGGGTTTTTTTTTTTGTTGGTTGGTTTTGTTTTGTTTTTTTTTTCCTCCTTTTTTTACACAGCCATATAAATTCACTGATAGTTTGGGAAGGACAATGCGTTGGTGCCAAAACACCTGGTCTCAGGACTGCAATGTAACTCTCCTTAGCAAATAAGCTTTTAGTTACAGTAGCATGAACAATCCAAGCGTCCAGGCATTACCCCTCAAGCCTGTGACAACTCTTACATCAGAGTTAAGCGTCACCGTAGACTGATTTGTGACTGCATTATTCTACTACCATTTTATTCAAATGAAACATATATTTGCCTATTCCTATGCTACAGGATTTTGACCAGGTTTTCTGTCATGTTTCTTCATCAGCTTCTAGGAACACACGAAGCACTGCGAATCTGGCCAGGGCGTGAGGGGAGACACAACCCAACAAGAACCCATGGGTGATTCACATATTTGAGCCACTTATGTACCTTAAAAAAGAGAAGAGTTTAAGGTGATGTTTTTAACAGATCTTTCAATTCTGTTTCTTCAGTCTTCAAAGTATTTGTGACATAATTAAGACCCATTTAATTACTTTAAATGTGTAGTACGATTAGACAAGAGCTCACGCAGCAGGTGACTAGTGCATGCACTGGGTGAGGGACAAGACAGGCAGCAGGAAGAAGGTGCTGTACACATGCTACAAGAGGAGTCTGGATGCTTCTTAGATCCTCATCAAGACAAACACTTGTTTTACAGCCTGGTGTTACACATTATTAACTATACTAGTGAAGACAGCTCATTTTTGCCTCACTGTGCTGTTAGGAGCGTAGCTTCTAAAGAAGCTAGACTAGCTAAATACAAGCTAGTCTCGTATTAGTCTTGCAAAATGCTAGACTAGCAATAATCTTTTTTAGGCTGAAACAGTACAGTTCTGAAATAGTGTTTGACTACAGGAGGCCAGGGCGAGCCTAGCTTTAAAGCAGAACATATGCCAGCAGCCAGCCTTAGCTTGGTAAACCTTTTTCAGAGATGTACTTCTGAACTGTTACGCTCTGAGCCCTGAACCCCTTGTCTTACGGGACCATCTAGGACCAAGAAGTTAAACTGCCAGGTCCTGGTCTGCAGCTCATGACAAGACCCCGAAGGCAGGAAGACTCACTCACTTTGCAGGATCAAGAGAAGTAAGTCTTATGAACAAGTAATGTTGTAGTCAAAACACAAGGAAAGCTAGAACACCACCACTCAGGGCAGCGATAGCTGGCATTGCCTGGGGAACACTCATGAAGCAGCAAAGAACTAATTGGATCAAGGCATCACCTGGAGACAGTTTGAACTGAAAGCTTGCACTTAGCCTGTTGTGGTTTTTTTTCCCCCTCCCCACTTTCAAAACATCCTGGCCACAGACTCTGGACAGTTTCTAAGGGAAGTACTGGAAAGGCCAGCTGCAGTGAACACATGCAGCTAATGAATGCATCAGGTCCTTGCTAACATCTGGCCCTGTATGAATCACAACTTGTTGCATCACAGGAACACATCCTACCAGAGGTCTACAGTGAGACAAAAACTGAGAGCTGTGTAGCAGGTACAATTGAGCTGCACAAGACTGAGATGAAAGAGTTGATCCATTATATACTTACCAGCCCTCTCTCTGCATCTTTATCAGTTGAAGCAGCTGGAAAACAAGATAAATGTCTAAGAAACTTTTACCAATTGCAGTGACTGAAACACAGCTGAATTCACACAAGATTTACATGCACTAGACACATTCATAACACAAACCAAAGCTCTAATATAAGCCATTTAGTTTCCTTAACCTGTCATACGTTTCATGAGAGTATTACCCTTAGCTTCCACCAACAGCACAAACACTGTGCCTTCATTCAGCGGATGAAGAGTCCCACTTAGTAAAATACAGACTGCAAAGTTTGACTTTTAAGACACTTTCAACCTCCCCTCCTCCATCTTATGCTTCTTAGCATTTTTGTGCGCGATTGCAACACAAAAGAGACAGCAGAAATAGTCTTTACTGCACTGCAATCACCAAGACGTGATTTGAACAAAGTTAACATTCAAAATTCAGAATAACTTTCAACATTATTCTAACTAAGCTGCTTGCAAAAATACTTTAATATGCAGTAGTGGAAAAAAGTTTCTCAGGAAAACATCTCCATTTCTACTAAAAAATAAAATTAATTCACACAGGACTTATCAACCTAACATGAATGTTAAGAAGCTCAAATGATAATAGGGCAACAATTTGTAGGAAAAAAAATCTCTGCAGCCAAACACAGTGAATGAAAGTAGTTAATGACCTAATTAGTTGCTACTTCTTGCCGCATACATCTGAGCTCACACACGTATTTTTCTTACTCTTTGCCAATGCAATGCAAGTAAGTAGGAAAAGTCCTTTTAAGGACCTTACACTAATCCTGCTTTGAAGCAAAGGCATCTGTCAGCAAAGACAGGTCATAGCTAAAGTTCATGCATTTTATTTACTGAGCAAACTAGTATCCTTTATACAGGAGTTACTTAACTGAATCTCATACCAAATGAGCTAGAGCTTAAACAGGTCCCCTGTAAGGTAACACAAAAACCAGGGACAGCCTTAGTGCATGCTTTGCCTAGTTCTGGAAAGTTTATGGATAATAATCAAACAGTTACCTTTATCACTCTTCAGCTTTCTAATTACAAAGAACAGCAACAAACCACCACCAACAACGAAAATAACCACAATGATCCAAACAAAAGCCATGCTGCCTGCAAAGGAAAAAGGAATAAAATGAAGCAGTCCCCAAACAAGATATTCTGAGGTACAAGTCCTCCCTGTTGTCCTAGAGAACAATCTCAGCTCAGCACTGGTACAATGACCCAGATAGATTGTCCTGGAAAAGGCGCTGGGACTATCAGCTGAGCTGAACGTGCAAATACTTGTTTGCACTGCACATCACTGTCCCAAAGGCAGTGGCAGATTCTGTACAGAGCTGCAATACCACTTCTACAAAACTTCTGGAGAGACATTGAAGAAAAGGGGGAAACAAGCATGAAAAAGATGACGACAAGCTTCAGGGTAGCACTGGTAGCATCAGTTCTTTCTTTCTCTAGTCTGGCAGAAGCTATCTACCAGCAGATGAGAAAGCCACTCCACATGCAGCTTCTCAGGCATAGAAAACATGAAAGAAATCTTTGCACTACCCATAACTTTCAATGGTGTCACCATTGCAACTTTGAGGACCCTGGCAATACATACAGCTTTTCACCGAGTGGAATTTAAGATGGTTTGTCACACCAACCCCTTTGAGAACTTGTCCTTAGCAAGTAATATCCACCCCAAAATACAGAAGCTCTTAAACATGTTACCGCAGTTCAAACCACTGTTTTACAGAGTGTTTACAGGTGTTACCAGCCTGAAGACACAGCCCCAACAAACCACGCTGAGTGGTATTTGTGTACCAGACCTTCATTGGGTAAGCCACATCCTAGGTCCGTAGTAGCATTGCAATTCTGCACAATTTCTTTCCCTTCCGGACACCTGAAGTGAATGGCAACACAAGGTTGTATCGGCATTTCCAGAGCAATACGCAGTTCCCACCAGGCCTGATTTTTTTCAGGCAGAGCTCAGAGACATGAACAGAACATGCATAAACAGATAACTTTGTTAGAAGTGCACCTTTAAACAACTCAAAGTAATACTACAAGATTAAACAGAAGCGAAGCAGATAAAGCTCATGTACGTTAGACTCTAAGTGGTGGGGGGAAAAAAGCTCCACAGAGTAGATGCATTATTCATGCACAGTTAGTTCCCTTCAACAGGTGATTCCACCTCCCGAAATTTTGGACTGGCTGCTACAAAACTCATTCAAGCATGTATGTGGGGAAGCACTAATGTGAAGACATGAGGAGTGTAAGCTTACAGCCATAAGCAACAAGCACAGCAATACCAAAATCCTTATCTTCCTAGGTCTCAACCTCACATATTTTTGACACCTAAAATTTAAATGCATGAATAACGCCATTTGGCTTCAGGGCAATTATTTACAGCCTAATAACATGTTAGGTATTGGCACAGATTGGGCCGTAGCTCTAATGTTCCCTAGAAGGAACAGCCACTTATATTCATTATCGAACTTACATTGTACTGCACCTCTGACATATTTCACAGCCCTCGGCAGGGCAGAAATATCCTTGTTTGCACTGGCATTCTGTATCATGCGTCAGAGTACAGGGTCTCAAAGTTATCTGATCTAAAAATAAAAGTTACAAAGTAAATATAAAAGTTGTGACTCTACAACATGCAAAAATTATGGTCAAGCCATAAAGGCAATTACTTATAAGTTCAATATTCTTAATGACTGGAAGTGCAGAAAAAAGCAGAGGATCAGGCTTTCCACGTTAAAAAAGGGGAAAAGGGTTAAGGTTTCATCAGAATTGTGCCTGGTACCATCTTTGCACCGTCTGCACGACAAGCATTCTTCCAAGCCATTCTCATGGGCAGTATAACCCTCTCCTTCGGTGCAAGGGACACATCTTCCTCTCAGGTGCGGAGCACTGCAGTGCTGAGCAACGTAAGTACCTGTGGAAGAAGAGAACCGGCGGCAGCAGCAGCCTCGAGGCATCGTTTCACAGGCAGGGGACTACAACAGGGCATTACAACACGCAGCTGGTTTTGGTGAAAGTTCAACCCCTCCTCACAAGCGACCGGTACGCCATGTGAACCCAACAGCACAACACCTTCGCAGCTTTCCCACTCGGACAGGGAAAGGCGGCAATCCAGGGATCTAGCCAGGCCTCTGCTGAGGCACTGGAGACTGAGACGAGGATGACTCAGTGCAGCAGCTCTGAGTCACCCACGCGGCCAGCACCATCTCCTCTGAAGGGGCACCACAGGCACAGGGAGAGCTGCTTGTAACAACTTCTCTTCTCCTTTGTCGGAATTACCTCTAAATCCACCCGCTAGCCCTCCGACACTCTCTAAAGGCAGGGCGCTTCTTGGCACAAGGCTTGTTAACTACACACATTGAGCAAGGAGGGGAGAGCAAAGGCAAACCAAAGTTTTACCTACAGATGCGGAAATACCAGAATTCCCCTGGGCCCGCTCTTTGTGCTAACTAAACACCCGACTTCAAACAGTTCGCCCCCAGCAGCGGGCAGAGGTCTCCTGGCTTCCTGCCAAGGCACCTCTCCCACTCACCACCTGTTGCACAAGGGGCTCTCACTTCAAAACGGAGCCCTGCCTTCACAGCACCCAGAAGCTACCGCAGCTCCAACTGGGCTTACATTTTCACCAGATACATTGTAAAAAAAACAGTGGTGACAGAGTCATCTCCACGGGGAAAAAAGCCATGGACACTATCGGCTGTAACTGCCTGAAGTCTTACCTGCTGGACAAGACACACAGCAGTGACCTTCATGTAAGTATTCTCCGACCCCACAGTCGCCTGCGCGGGTTCCAGGCATTATCAGCAGTGTAACCTACAGCAGAGAGACAGGTGTGTGAGTGATTCATCCTCCCAGGACACGATTACCATCTCGGGGAGATGTTCCTGTAAAGACTTGAAAACACACTCAGAAGTTCTTGGGAAGCCACAAAGGAAACCCAGACTAATTTCTGCTAAGTGAGCCGCTCGCAGGAGTAATTACAATCACAAAGCCGGGGTTAGAGCAGCACTGTGCAGCGGCTCACGGGTTGCAGACAACTACTGCCCCAGATCCCCGCCTCCTTTTAAACTTCTATTTTCTTTTTACTAATTCACAGCAACAGAACTTCAGAGGCCGAGGTTTCTGCCTTGTGCAAGGGACTCGTTTCTCCCTCATCCCGTTCTTTTTAATTCAGGAGGGTCAGCGTTAGTCTTCAGAAAAATGGAGGAAACGCCCCTGAGCCCTCATCCAACATTTCTCGCCGGCTCTGCACTCTTCGTCAGAAGGCAAGCAGTTAAGTCATTAACAAAAATGACTTACTGTAGCCACAGGAGCATTAGGACCTTTTGTTCCTTTAGGAAACCCACGGGATACATGCCCGTCGGCAACCCTGCGGCGGAGCGGGGCACTCAGCGCTGAGGATCCGCGGCCCGTTAGCACCGGGAAGCCAGGTGCTTCCCAAGCAGACAAGCGGGTCGCTCAGATGCCGCGGAGGTAAATCTCTCACTTACAACACACACGCCAAAGAAAGCGGTAAAACAGAGGCAGGAGGAGGGGAAGCGACGGCCGCGGAGCTCCCGGTCGCC